TTATTTTCTTTTTTTTTTTTTTTTCTCCCTTCTCTCTCGACTCATTTTACGTGGTTAAATCTTGACCACCGACACTGCTCGAATTCTCGTCGAGATACTACTCGATCCGATATTTATGGAAGGGGATGAACAACGTAATGGACGATCCATTACGGATACATACTTATTTACAATACACTACTACTTAAAACCGAAGTCGAGGTTATCGCGGAGGGAGAAAAAGGAGGGTTGTGCTCGGTGACACAGGTGGTAAGCCACAGAAGTGCCTCGTTGCCCCTTTTCAACTCTTCCCGCTCCCCTCCCTTCTTCGCTTGAAAGCCGTTGATCTCTTCATTGGCGAGCGTAATCATTTGCGAGTAGTGGCCGCGTAAAGAAGCGGCTTCTGTCCATTAATTGACCCGACGATTCCGTTGCGATTAACTAAGACCGTGCCTCGACCGTTTACCCGTTCGAATTCGCTGCTCGCACGAAACCTCGTGCGTTTAACCGAACAAATCGACCGAATTTGAATTTTTTCGTCGTGAAAAGTGACTGGAATTCGCTTTGTCTCAGGCGAATATAACGTAATAAACGTAATATTAAAATTTACGATGAGATCAAATTTTATCAGCGTATATTTAATAATAATAATAATAATAATAATAATAATAATAATAATAATAATAATTCGTAGAGGATATGGATATTTTTAATTTCGATTTTCACTCTTCGATCGTCGCAAGCGTTGGTTTCTTTGTTTACACTAGATTAAAAAAAAAAAAAAACTTACCGATATCTCGAGAGTTCACATCGCTGAAAAGTAGTTGAAAAGTAGTAGAAGAAGACGTTGGTAAAAGTTTTTTCATTCTCAGATACGTAATCCATCCAGCGATAAAGGTGGGGAGCCCGTACACTCGGATATTTAACCCGATACATAATCGTTCTGTTTTCGTTCTTGGTCGACATCGATGGTCTCCAACGATGTCTCGGTACGATTCGAAAAAACAATTTCCAAAACTTTCTCCCTCGAGTTCATCGTCGTTACGTAATAAAAAAAAATCTTATCCGACGATTACCTGTAACGTCGTAACGGGTCTTCGTATCGCTTCAGTTTGCTTTAGTTCGATGATTATTAATCGCATAATCCAGATCGCACGAGGATAATCCCATTTCGTGTTTACGAATTTCGACACCAACGTCGAGAATACGAGAGAATTCTAGCAGAACGTTCCTCGGTGAAATACTATCCGTCACTGGACTCATTTGGACTCGACTGGGCTGTCTTCGTTTACGAAGCCTTACGAATGTCCTTGTGGTCTCAAGATCATGCTCTATGTAAATACTTCGCGATTCGACTCGAACAAAACGAGCGAATCGGTGGTAAGCTAGATTACCGACCGTGTTCAAACAATTTTCAAGCGTGATCACGTCGATAGGAAGGAAAATACGTTGGAGCGTATATCCCATAATATATGTTATATATGTATCGTGGAATGCACAATATGTAATCGACACAATTTATTTACAATAGAAAAACATATCGGATGTATACATATACGTGTACAGTTTAGCCGAGTATTATCTAGTATGGGAGAGACGTTGGTTGGCCGTTACGTATTAACGGCCGTCGCGTCGGGTTAAGAACCCCTATGCTCCTCACGGCTCCGTGTATACCTCCGAATAATGAACAAATGCCAGATCTAATCCTTAATAAACGTGCACTTATCTAATAAAGCTTTTAAACGATACATAATGTGACACGATGCAACGCAAGAACACTCGTATTAGTCGTAACTTATATCTACGTAAACGATGTACATAAAGAGAAGAAACTTTTTGCAGCGTTCAAATAGTCCCCCATCCCTCCCCTCGACCATCCACGACCATCTACGCGATCGATAATACCTATGTTACATAAAAACGGTTATAACCGAGAGCCGAGAGATGCCTTCCCCTTCCCCTTCTCTTTCTCCTTCTCCTTCTGCTCCTTCTCCTCCTCCTTCTTCTTTTCTTAATCTATCGATGTCGCTACTTTAAGGAAAAAAAAACGGATTTCGAACGGAGAATAACCTCGCTCGACCCATTAACTGTCCATATTTATTTTTCGTTGGACGATTGACAGAAACGTTTCCTCGCCCACCATATCGCGGCCAGGGCAGCTGCCAGGAATCCTATCCCCGCCACTATTCCCATCGAAATCGCTCTGTTTCTACGGTAAGCCGGTACTTCGAGACTGACGCGATCGCTCGTTGCCACGTCGTCCGAAATCGACATAGCGGCCACCTCGAACGTGTAGTAACTCTCCTCCTCCAGCGTTTTTACTGGAACAACGTAAACGATCGTTCGATAATTCTAGATATCACGGAATTGATATATACCGAACGTATATCATCGAAAGTTACCCAGATAGTAAGTGTCGGTCGTTTCCGCTCTGCCGTACAATTGCTCGGACGGCCCACGGAACCATCTAACGGCGTACAGTCTCACTTGCTCCTTCCCGTAAGCAGGCGGCTCCCAAGTGACCAGATAACCTTGCACGGTCGCTTGCACTCTCACGTTCAACGGTGGACCCATTCGATCGTCTTTCGTGTCAGAAATATCGCGATCAATATATATCAAGCTACATGTATAGGAAAATTAAAGTATCGCGTATAAAATCTACCTGGAGGACTACGATATTCCGACGCCGAATTCTCCTCTAACGAATCTGAAATATATTTCGTATATAATTTTCGCTGCACACATAATACGATATCTCGTGGAAATACGATACGTACTGGGTTGGGTGAAAATACGCAACGTTTTACTGAACATCCCGTCCCCGTGTTTGTCCTGACTAAGCACCATGAACTCGTACTCTCGTCCCGGATTCAAATTGTTTATCGTCGCCTCGGTAATTTTTCTCGACAAAATCTTCATCGTTCTCCACTCGGTGGTGTCGGTTGGCCTGTACCTGAATTTTATATATATATATACACGAGAGGAATCGTATCTTTTTTATATTTAATATATTTGTATTTAATAATTCACAGACATTGAAAGAAGGGAAGGGGAAGGTATTTTCGCTTATTACCAGACCGAGTATTCCATCTTGGGTCTCACGTATCCCGGCACCCAAGTCAACGTGACCGCGTTGTTGCTGCTGTTGGCGCTCAAGTTATACGGCGCCCTTGGAGGGACATTCAATACCATTAATTCCGTGTCCGCGACCACCGTCGCGGCTTCGTTGCTCACCGCGCATTGATACAATCCCCTGTCCTGCTCTTGTATCCTATCGATCGTCAAGTTGCCACCGATTATAATGGTCCTGTTGGTCAACGGTATTGGCGAGCCATCCTATCGAAATGCGAAATCGTGTTAATCGAAAAAGGGGAATCGAAGGAGGAGACGAAGAATTCGCGATTCCCAATAAAAGTATTTCACCTTGTACCAAACGATCGACGGTCTGTGGGATTGATCTCCATCCTTCGCGTCGCAGGGTATCTCCAAATTCTCCCCCAATTTCCTTATGTACAAGTGTTGAGGGGTGACCGTGAACACAGGCGGCCTCTGCACGATCTGTTCGAACGGAAATTATTTTCTCGAATTAGTGAATGATAATTAAGAAGAAGAGAGGTATAAAGGAGAAAGAAAGTGTTCGATCACTCGCCACGGTGATCGATGGACTGGGTCCCTCGGTGCCCAGCTCGTTGTACGGCGTGCAAGTGTAACTTCCGGAATGGGTTTCGTCCACTTTGCTGAAGTAAAGGGAACCGTTCCTCCTGTAGAAGACGCCCTGAACGTTGTACGGATCGAACAGAAATCCGTCCTTCTCCCAACGTAGATTCGTCAGGGGCGGATTCGCCCTGAAGTGACAATCCAGAAGGGCTGGTTTCCCGTACGGGAGGTACACCTCTCGGGGAGCGTAGATCACTTTCGCCTTGTCTGTGAAAACGGAAATAGAGTCATCGTTAACGACAACAACTGTTGTTGAGGGACGAGGAGGGGGACAGTTTCGTATTCGTCGATCGTTCTATTATTTCTCAGGTTATTATATTATATTATTTTATATAATA